TGTGTGTGTGTGTGTGTGTGTGTGTGTGTGTGTGTGTGTGTGTGTGGCCTTGTTTTTCTACATCTTGGGGTCCAGTTTTAAGGAAAACACAGCCTCGTGGGGACCAGGTGCTCCTTGTGGGGCCCAAAGCCTGGGCCGCACAACTTCGGAGGCTGATTTTGGGTGTGAGGGTTGGGTTTAGSACCAAGGTRTGAATTRAGTTTAGGTTAGTTTTAGGGTCAGGAAGGTACCTGTGAGGTTAGYSTTAGGGYTTGTGGTCWGGGTTAGGATGTAAAATTACCAGAAAATGAATGGAACTCAATGGATGGGCCCAACAAGGATATAAAAACAAGTTTGTGTGTGTGTGTGTGTTTAACATTTAATTTCAGTTATTTCAGAGCGACTCACCTGAAATAACCACCTTTATAAAAAGCAAACGTAATGTGGAAATTTTTTTTGAACATCTGTCTGATTAAAAGCTACAGTTCTAAGTCACAATGTAATCATGTGCACTTAAGTGTTGGAATGTGTTCTAAAAGCAAACTGGGACCCACACACAGGCTGAGAGGTGTGTAAGAGGTGAAATACTTTATACTGGGCTGACAGAAAACTAAAACAAATATATAAATGTTTTGAAAATGTATAAAAATGAGGGGGGGGGGGGGAATCAAAATTAAAGGTTAAACATCAATTTCCTAAGCTGAACATTTAGATATATGATTGGGTAAAATATGCATATTTGATTGCTACATGAAGGGGAAAAGAACAGGACAATAATGACACGTGGATTTAAACCTAACCTATTCTGTAATGTATTCAAAATCATCTTTATGTTATATCATGAATAAATCAATATGTTAACTATATTTTAAAATGTATAGGTATTTTACTGAGACGTGACAATCAGTAAATCTGCAGACTAAGTTGCACAATAAAAATCTTATTGACATAACATTTGCACGGTTAATGAATTTCCAGTCTGGATAATGTTTGTTTAAAAACAGGAAGACAAATCTTTTGTTCCTGGTCTGGGAGTGGAAACGTCCTCCAGGAGCTTTAAACGCAAAGTCAATGTAGAAAACTGCTGTTTTATTGTATCTAAACACGCCACCATGCTTCTCACAGGCCACCTCCGGCCTGTGGGCCATCAGTTGGTAATAACTGAYTTATAGAGAGCAAATTTTTTTCATTATAATTTTTGCATGTCAAAAAATCTGAAGGTTTTTTACATTTTCCGGCTGTCATGATCTGACAAACATGACAAACATGAGGAAAGCAACTCTTAAATGTGTATTTTGCAGTGGTGGGCACAGTTCCCCTAAAGCACTAAAACACTAATAGGAGAACTAATTTCCTGATTAGTGCTTTAGGGCTTTTGCTAATTTTAAAATGCATTAGTGGATTAGCACTTGCTATATTTAAAAGCACTAACTGAGGTCTATAAATGTTAATGTTAACAGCTGAGGGTGAAAGCTGTAGCATTTTGTTCATGTGTGTCACTTATCCAGGTGACACACATGAACCCAAACATGTCAATGATGAGTATTAAAAGATCATGTTGTCTGTTGAAGAATGTTCATGGGTTGACTGGGTTATTTTAGTGCTTTAGAAATGGCTCGCTAAAACTTTTAGTGCATTAGAATTAGGGGACCAATAGTGTTTTAGAGCTAGTGGCACTAATTTTTAGATTAGTTCTGCCCACCACTGGTATTCTGTCTCGTTTGTTAAGAGAAGACACCTGTGGTTTCTACCTGCGGAGCTCAGCCTTTGATGTTTACTAGCACAGGTAACATGAGGTCACGTGAGGCGGGTCAGAGGTCAAGACCCCGACCAGCAAGCTAACACGATTTTATCCTCTATTAAACACTTTAATTATTCTCATAAGGACCACATTAACGCAGTAGCTCGTGACTCGCTAAACCGTTCTACAAACTTGTTTCATTTGTTACCTGTAAGGTAGATTTCTCTCCGCGATGCTGCGTCCGCTGCCAGCAGGTCATCAAAACAAACACACCCCACAAAAAAAATCACTCCATCGCCGGATTAAAAATACCTCCTTCCCTGTTCGGATCCTTGAATTGTTTTGAGGCAGACACAGTTCTGTGTGTGTTTCCGCGGCACTCTGATCAAAAATGAAGAGGATGTTTGCCTCAGAGAGCAGACGACCCCACCTACTCCTTAAACCCCACCTCTGATGTAGCTACCTGTCAGTCTGTCCACGAAATATGACCTCATAAACCTTAAAAATATACATATATGAAATACAGTAACCCTGTTTAGACTAAGAAATTGTACCACTTTCAATAATGCAATTTTGAATTTGATGTTTACAGGTTTGTAAAAAGATGCTTCATAGTGATTAAAAAAAAATGTTCCAGTCTTTCAGATGTTTTGCAAACAATTCTAAATTAACCATTTTTACACTAAAACTGGTACAACTTCTCAGTTTAAACATTTGACATGTTTAATATGTTCCATTATGGACAAAATAAAGGCTTACAAAATTCACCAATCATTGCGTTTTTATATTTTTACAAACCTCAACATTATCATTAGGGTGTATAATCCAGTGTTTTTCAAAGAGGGAGAAAAGGCAAAAATTAATATCTTATGTTTTAAATCACTATAAAATTACATCCCTATAGCTTATTTTCAAATATAATTTATATATTTTAAAGAGTGCTTAAAAGAGATTTGATTTTTATTGTCCAGCTTGAAGTGTGAATAGCTTAAAACATGTTAGTTCATAAAGYTCTTATTCTAATGTATTATTTAATAATGAAAGTGAGAAGAAACATTCTAAAAGTTGATGTTTCTTTACATGTTTTGTAGTGGGGACCTGGGCAGGGAAAAGTTTATAAACCACTGGTATAATCTACATTCATATGTGTAAAAGCCTCACTTCTTTGGGGAAACATAACTGACAAGACAATATATATTTTTAGTTATTTGTGTTTATTCACAATGAACTCAAACACAAATCAAACACTCATCAGGTTGAACATCCCATTCCTGTGGGTGAACAAACAAACAGATGGCTGCAGAGCACACTCACTCATCACTGAGGCTGAGCATGCTCTTTGCTGCTGGCTTTTACAGGAAAACAAGGATAACCTGATTTGGAGAACTATTGAAACCTAAAAGCAAACAAGAATACAACCGCAGAATAAAATTATTAAAGCCTTGAACATAATGCAGCATTTTACAAAAACACAAAACCAATATACATTTGAAACAGGCGGGTTGAACAGTAAGAGTTTTTGTTTAGTGTGTCTTATTTCTCTCCAGCTCCTTGATGAGAATAAACTGCAGCTGCATCTGTTTCATGTGCTCCATCGCTTGTTCCATTAGACGCTCCAGACTGTCGACCTACAAATAGAAGCAGAAAAACAATAAATGCTTTATTTGTAACAAAACGTGTTACATGTTTTACTATCTAACAGAAATGAAAGCAGCCCTGACGTGTTTCTTCAGGTGCTGACAGTTGCAGCTGGAAGTCTGTGGTTCTGAAAATGGAGACAGGAAGAAAATATTTAAAAAAAAATCTTTAAAGAACAATGAAATCAAAGAAACGGTTCTTTTTTTTATGCATACACACCAGTGACATCTGAATTATTTTGGTAGGGTGGCTCCATTTGGTTCACAATCTTCTTCACTGGATCTTAAARGAAAATTGAACAGTACACTTAACACAGTTCATAAACCCAACACACACACACAGTTGTACAACAACTCACCAACAACAGACGCAGTAGAAACAGACTGGACTGTTGGCTCTGGAGCTTTCGTAGACGTTGTGTTATCAACTGGCTTAGTTTTATTTTCCAGCTGATTGTGAGGATCAGGTAGGGTTTTAGGTTGGGGGCAGTCAGGTGCAGCTGCAGCTGCAGCGCTCTCTGAAGTGCTGCTGCCAGTTTTGTCCCTCTTCTGACTGGSATCTGGAAAACAGTTGCTCTTGCRGTGGGTGTGTAATGTATCCAAGATCAAGGTAGCGAGGTTTCCTCCGCCGCTCTCAGTGGGCAACGTGACGGACAGCACGTTAGCAAAGCCGTCAAAGGACTGAGCGGCGGCCAGGACGCCAGTCGTCAGCGCAGCCCGAAACACCTGCTGCACCTCTTCTGGCCAAGCTGCAGGGGAGTGCTCCTTTTCTGTTATTGTAAGAAATTAGGTCATTAGACAGGGCAGCTCAAAACAAAACTATTTTAACCCTCCTGTTGTGTTACGAGTCTGACCTGTTTTATAGTTAAAATTTTTTTTAAATATTTTTTTTCTGCATGAAACTTTTTCTATTTGTTTTAATAGGTATAATTTGCATATAAAATGAAAATGTTCATTTTACATCTTTGCAGCCCCCCGCTTCTACATATTACATAGACAGTGTTCGGGTCAATTTGACCCGGCAGTCAAAATGAAGMGTAAAAAGGGTCAAAAGTGTCTAATACTATTTGTTTCTTTGCAACTGTGAGATATTTCACCTCAAAAACCACACACACACAGGTTTGTTTTTCTATCCTTATTAGGACCGTTCACTGACTTCCTAGCCTGGCCCTTGCCTTCCTACGCAGCTCCGCTCAATTCTAGTTTTCCTTCACTGCTCCGTCTGGGGCTTCTCCCATTGAGATGGATTTCGCTGGCAGATTTTTAGCCGAACCAATCAGAGAACAGAACGTCGATTTTCTGCCCAGTGTCTGCTTGTAGTTTATTTTACCTGGGCCAATCAGCAAACAAAAGGAGGTGTTTTGAATGACGTCGATGTTCTGCGCAGTGTCTGCTAGTTATTTTAGCATACGGCAGTGGAGGAAGTGAATGAAACCAGTCTGTGTTGATAAAGCTTCTAAATTAAAATAAATTTGTCTGACAAAGCAGCAGCTCTCATTTACAGTCGTCTCGTTWGGCTCGGCACTTCTCTCCTCTCAGTAGGGTTGTTTGCAGCACACGCAATTTCCGGTTAGCTTCTTAGCTTAGCCTCCTTCACACCGACATACATCGCAGCCAACTGATCCAATCATTTTAAACTTCAGCAGAGGCCACGCCTCCTGCAAGAAATTGATTCTCTATGCATCAAGTCCAGAAAAAGTGAAGGACAGGGTCTGGTTTAAACCAGGCTACTGACTTCCATTCATTTCCAGTAATTTCTACAGACTAACCCTGACCACCAACCCTAAGGCTAACTTCACAGGTACCTACCTGACCCTAAAACTAACCTAAACTCAATTCACACCTTGGTCCTAAACTCAACCCCCAACCCAAAAATGGAGTTCCACCATATTAGGACCGGTCTTTGGTCCCCATTAGGACTAATGGTCTTGACAAGGTAGGCGTGTATACTGGAAACGGTCCTAAAAAAGGTAACAAAAACAAGTAAGTACACACACGCTGGTAGATATTGGGACAATGTGGCACAAGTGGGTTGAGCAACTTCCACTGCTTTAGGCCCCAATGTCACAGTGGATGAAGGTTTGTGGCATTCAGAAGTTGCTGCTTATTTAGAGACAATAAAGTTTATTTCAATATAAATCTTCATGACTCATTTGTCTTGGTTTTTAATTAGCGGGTCAATTTGACTCAGAACAGAATAGGTGTCAAGTTCAATTATAATCATCACTCCTTAAAAAGGGGGAAAAAAAATCAATAAATAAAAAAATCTAAAAAAAATTGTTTTAATGAATAATCATTGTTTTTTGTGCATATGTTTTTGTATTGGACATAAAAAATGTAACATGCTTTTTTAGGAAAACGAGTGACTTGTCCTCATTGATCCTTTATCTGAAATAAAAAAAACATCAATTCACAAATATTGATTGAAATTGTTAGTAATGGACTTAATAATCAGATATAAAAATGTTTTGTGGGATTGTTTTGGTTTCTGACACTATAGCATGATTAAACATGCCCCAGGTCAAACTGACCCAGGAACATTATTGCTGTTCCTCAGAAACAAACCTAACAGGTGAGTTAAAGGTGAGGATCAGTAATACTTAAAACCTTCACTGCCATACCTGTTAGGGTGCAACGAATAATCTGAAAAGGAAGCTGCAACAGGTGGGCAGGGATGGGCAGGATTCGGGAGAACGGCACAATCTCACTGTTGCCGTAGTCTGCATAGAGGATGCTCATCTCATTCTCACCGACTTCCAGGACTACTGCTCTGTACCAATTCTGATCAGCTGGAAGAAAACAAAAAAAGGAAAATAAGGTTCGAGTCCTAAGTCTCAAATCTTGCTGCAGATCCACCTACGAAACAAATGCCACAAAAAATAAATTAATAAACCTTTGAAGCTACAACCTTTGTCATCTCCAACAGATGATTTCTGAGTTTTTAACCACARCTTTTACAGCATCCAGCTCAAAAATCTCCATTAAAACAGACCCTGTAGTTAGCTGGCTGTGGAATGTACGCCCGACTCGTCTCCTGCCTGTCTGCTGCGTTTAATGCAGCTTCTGCGGGCACCACGCACGGACACACACTCACTGTGTAATTACATCTACTCACAGACGGGAAATTACCAGCTTAGGTGTGCAGAGGCAACAAATGCAGGTGGGTCTTAAGAACAGAGAGCACACGTAAAATAATGGGGAAAATAAGGTGTATTGAAAGTTTATCTGAATTTAACAGCTTGGCATTTGATCAGCTGACCTGTAAACAATCAAGAATGAAAAATATTCTGCCAGGTGTCTTTACTATATGAAAACTAATCCAGCTGTGAATACTTTTTTTTTACAATAATTTTCTTATTAGCATTTATGTATGAATGGCTTTGAAGTGTTTTTTTAATTTCATTTTATTGATCACTTCCTTGTCAAAAGCTGAAAAAGTTGTGTTAATGCTTTTCATCACTTTGTTCTTATATAGACAGCACTGTGTATATTTGAAACAATCATCACAGCACAAGAATGCTTCGTCATGCATTTATGATGCATCAACATTTACAGTAGTTTTTCCTCACCAGAGAACTGAGCACAACAGGCAGCACCAGGAGCAGGTTTGGTGTTTACAGCTGCAGATAAAGTGTTCTGTTTGTCGCAGCAAAAGACAGCCAGCTCCATCATCACCTCCTGCAGCTTCTGCTGATCCACTTTAAAACACAAAAACATTTAATGAAAGTCCTGAAACTTTTCAAAGCTACAGTATGTGAAAAGTGAGCAGCTGGTGTTCTCACCTTGAGCGGGGCCGAACAGGTAAAAGAGGGAAGGACTAATGGCCGCTGCAACGTAAGGCTGAAAGGTCTCTTTGAGTGGCAGCTCCAGTGTTTTCCAATCCACTGGAAAAGATGCGGCTGAAAACAAAGATTACGATATTTTTAAATGAGCGTGCATTTATTATTTTCTTTGTGAAGCCCWATGACCTAGCTCACCTTCTGATGTCTGCCCTTCCCTTGTTTTCTCCGTAGAACCGGCTTCTGTCTGACTACAGGTTTGATCTCTGCCCTCATTCTGCTTTACAGCCTCTTGCTTTGTTATGGAGCTCATTTTTTCTGGCGGCTCTTCAGAAGTTTCTCCAGAAGCTTTAGCGAGCAGCTCAGCAATCAGGGAAGCTGCCACGTTCTTGCCACTGCTGTGGAGCTCCACGCCGTAGCCCTGCTCTGTGACCGTGAGGACGCGTGCGTTGAGCTGTTGGCCATCCAACAGAGCCTGGAACCACAGGATGGCCTCGCWGCTCCACTCTGATCCAAAGGGCTCCACACCTGATTCAACACATGCACAATCTGACTGAAACTTTATAAAATGAATATATTTTWTAAGTGATGATTTAATGGTCCACTCATTAAAAAGTTAAACATTACGCTGAGTTTATACAGAACCAGTGAAAAAAATATGTTGAAAGGGTTATTGGTTTGTGCTTGAGTAAATCTATTTTTCTCAATACTGCAATGGAGCTGAGCTTTTGCAAAGATTTATTTTCCTCATTGCTTGTCTCAGTAAATATTTTTAAAGTGCCTGTGACATCAACATTTTTCTAATAATAYAAATGCACTTTTGAAAAGTTAACACTGAGAACATATTACAAAATAATTTTCATGMTGCTGAGATGAACAATTGAGATATTTGCATGTGAAGTAACAGGAAGTGATGTCAAAGGGGAATGTCTGCAAAAAAACAGAGCTGAGCTAAAATGCTCAACAGCCCAGACTGTGGAGAGGAATCTGATGTTTTAGATTATTTTCAGTCGCCATCAGACAGAAACAAAAAAAGTCAGAGTTCAAATAATGTTTTTTCAATAAACAAAGACCAGGGAGTTCTTTTTCTTAAAGGAGTTCCCCTTTGATGTCACTTCCTGTGTCCCTTTTGCCGAGCCAAGTTCAAAAGAAAATAGGCCAGTTGTGTGTCTAAATGGGTAAAATAATGCAAAGTTTCTTAAATAAAATGAGTTTTCTTTGACTTTTTGTATCTGGAGGATAAGCGTGTCACGGGCACTTTAAGATCTAATTAAAAAAACAAGTCTCAATTTTGTATATACTGAAAACCCATSAGACTGTCTGATAGTTGTTAGTCTGACAGATTACCTGCCAGCCAGCAGCAAACTGCCTGGAAAGGATGTGTCAGGAGTTTGGGTGTAATTGGCCGCAGGTGACAATTTTCCACGGTCATGCTGTAACCGTAGTCCACAAAGTTTACTGCAGATCTGCCATCGGAGAGTCCCTGTACCATGACCCGGCACCATGCTCCATCACCTGGGAGGAACACAAACAGGGCTTTCTAAAACACTCAAAACACTGACAGAGAAAAAAAGAAAAGGAATCTGGAAACGATCACTACGTGAAACACACTGAGTTAGAGTTACTGCCATTTCACAAATTAATTTGACATTTTATTATTTTCACGACCAAATAATGATTAAGTTTAATTCATTTATAAAGGTTTTTGTCAAGTTTTCACAGAATTGCTGTGTTGTCAATATTTTTTTTAACACAAATAATTTGGAATACGGTCTCACCAGGAAACACTGCACAGCAAGGTTCTCCCAATTTGGGTACGAAAGGGGAGACATGAGCCTCACAATGCTGCTTCAACTGAGCCCTCAGTTCTTTTAGACTCTGTTGCTCTGAGAAAGAAAATATAWAATAGTTATGACAATTCAGCTTTCACTTCTTATACATTTACTGCAAAATAAAACCTCTGCTATTTAAGCATTCTTTAAAGTTGTGACAAGGCATGCAGCTGTCTAAAAAAATATAAAAAGCCTGCAAATGCAGGGACAATTAGCCTACTTTTCTTATGAGGAAAATAAAAACAGTAAGTCAGTGAATTTATTAGGAGTGCTTCTAAAGGCGCCTCTCAGTCAATGTTAAGTACAACCTTTTGTCAAAAAAGTCAATATAAAAACAACAAAACCTGTGGGACTGCTGAGGCGGCAGTAAAACTTCCCAGGGCTTTCTAYAAGACTGGCAACCAGCGCCACCGTCTGGCCATCAGTGGGGAGTTCAGCAACTGACCAAACCAGTTGCTCAGGCACAGGGGGTGATGCTGAGGGGGAGATTTGAAACAAAACAATGTATCACACAGATGTACACCACTAGTTTCTGTATTATAAGAATTTGMTAATGATCTAAAGCAGCAGCTTCAGGCACCACCTTGTTCTGCAGCAGCTGTGTCCTCAGCTTGCAGGTGAGCACTGGATGCAACAGGAGCAGGTGTAGCATAACCTGCAGTGATCAGCAGCTCGGCCATATTGACCAACGGATCACTGGCCTCGTCAATCAGCTCCACCAGGAACTTGCCCTCGTGTGCTCCCAGGATTTTGCAGTGCAGGATTCTGTTCGACAGGTGGCGCTGAAGAGTCAGAAGGCAGTCCTTCAACCAGCTCTCCTCCAAAGGCTGCACTCCTTTAAGTAAAAACAAAATCTCTCAGCGATGCTGTGTCCGCTGCCAGCAGGTCATCAAAACAAAGGCAAACTCTAAATTTATAATGATATTGATTATTATGGTGATGAATTAGGAATTCACCTAGAAAACTTGGACACCATAAATGCAAAAAAAAGTTTGAGGAATTAAGCCGTCAATATAAAAATGAGATGTTTTTCAATCTGGATAAATACCTGCTAGACCACAGGGAATAGCCTGCACTGGAAGGGCCAGGAGTGAGGTGCTAATAGGTCGCAGATAGTTTAAATCCACCTCTTCTGAGTTGCCAAAATCAATGTAGCCGACACAGATGCGCTTCTCTGATGGATAAGCCAATACTTTAGCCCTATACCACTGTTTGTCCTCTGAAATAAAAAAGAAAGATTCATTGAACTCAAACATATTAGCAAGCAGGAGAAAATTCTGAATAGTGGAAATAGTTACATAAAGGAGATAAACTTTGTGAAATACCTGTAAGGTTTTAGTTTAAAATGATTTGGACATTTTTAAATATTCACTTGTGTCTTACGTGAACATTGTTCTGTAWAGGTCTGCTTCTAACAATTAATTTAGTAATCAAGTATCTATCAATTATTCTGTTGATTAATCGAGTAATCAGATTTTTTTTAAATTTTCAGGTTCTGCAGTAACTACTTAAGCTTATTTTATGACTACAATGATATATTATTTAATAATTATTAAATATGGTGATGAGGCAATCTACACTTGCTGCAATTAAAGTAAAATTACTATACCAGCTGAGTTTGATTTATGCATTTTAAGCTACAACTGCTTGCATTTATGTGTGAGGTTTGAGGGTGCATTCATTAAAAGCACTCTGTCACTGAATCATTTTTAACCATGACAGAAAAATCTAAATGCTGTAAATTTATTTTTATGGGTGGAAAACTGAATGTGATCTTTTATGTTAGAAATTGTGAAAGTAAAATAGGTAATGCAATAGCTTGAGGTTTGCACTCAGTCTCATAGAGCTCACTTGTTATTGTTAATAGTAAAACTTAATTTATATTTTTATTAAGACTATATTATTATGTTGGTGAGGTGTTCATAGTTCACATTTTAGCAAATAAAACATTTAGTCTTGGCTGCTTAGCTATAAACAAATATGACAGTGTGAATAAATTAAGGGTATTGACAGGTTTCAAATCCATTAAAATGCAGCAGCTCAAATCCTAACTAWAGCATACACTGAACTTAGTTGTCTGTTCGATTTAATTGTAAAAGTTTCCAGACTATTGGTAATTTCTGTCRTTTTCTAGGGTGATTTGTTTTGGGACACTTCATCTCCTTCCACTGCCAAAAACAGCACTTCACATACATGAGTCAACAAAGTAGCTGYTAGCGTAAGTGCTAACGTAGCRTTGTGTMACACTGTACACTGATCTAAACAGTCAGAGTTCGACAAATCCTATTGCCCGACTGCCCGGGGCAGGTAAAACCCATTGTCGGGCAGGTGGGTGTGTCCCAATGCCTGCTCGATCGGGCAGGTAAACAATTTATTTCATTTTTTATAGGGCCATTTAATCGAAATATTCTGAAAATAAATGAAGAAATACGGCGTTTTAAAACACGTAAAGAGAGAATAGTCAAAATGTCCCCCTCCCGCTGTAGAAAAGTTACATCTTGCTGTCGTGTCGCAGGATCCCAAGTTCCTCCTTCCTTCCTGCTGCACGTCGCACAGAGAGGAGGTGTAACAACCGTAGCTTTTTTCACACCCATGTTTTCAGAGGAAAAAAAATGTTTTATGTATTGTTATCCACAGAGATGAAAAAAATATGTGGACGTTCGTTCAGTCATAAATCCATCTAGCTAATGTCGGCTTCTGCTCTGATGAAGATGAGAGAGGAGCAGCAGTGGGTCAGAAGCTCATTTGTATGGCAGGCTGATCTATCATTTATTTGGCTTCACCACACTTATATTCTAGTTATCTGAAATTATTTTATGACTAAATTAGACATATTAGTTACTTAGGATAAAATAATAAAATGTTTTCTTTTATTTACCTTTTTTTTAATTTGGAGAACTTTCCAGCTTGAGCTTGTTTGTTGAAGTTGATTTTTGAAAATAAGGGGCAAATATGATAAAACAAAATTTTTTTTTACTTCACTCTGCATCCTTTTACTTCAGGGTATGATTTACTTTGTTTTTTTAATGCTGTACATAGATGGTTTTGTTTTTATGAACGAAAGAAAGAAACAAATAAACAGACATCTCTTACTATATTTTGACAATTCAAAATACCTATTTAAGATATCTCTAATTATATTCTGACTTGTATAAATAACATTAGATTTATCATCATGTTGTAGGGAGACTCCAGTTCAAGATATCTTTGAAAATAAGGGGCAAATATGATAAAAAGTGTTTTTACTTCACTCTGCACCCTTTTACTTCAGGGTATGATTTACTTTGGGTTTTTTAATGCTGTACATAGATGGTTTTGTTTTTATGAATGAAAGAAACAAATAAACAGACATCTCTTAATATATTTTGACAATTCAAAATACCTATTTAAGATCTCTCTAATTATATTCTGACTTGTATAAATAACATTAGATTTATCATCATGTTGTAKGGAGACTCCAGTTCAAGATATCTTAAGTGTGAGATTCACTAGATAAGATTTAATTAAGGCAAATTTCAGACTTTTTCATGTTCTGTAAATTGTATTTAAAACAAAGCTGCTGCTGTTGATCATTCTGTTTTCATAAACCCCGCCCCCAAGGCCAATACTGTAGGGAAACACTTTTTTGAAGATGTTCTTGATAAAACAATTGACTGTTTGTAACTCAGTCTAAAATGTTTGCATCTGTTTAATCAGATGTCATATATTATGTATATACCTCTGTATAACCTTGTTAATATTTTTGTAGTACAAAGTACAGTACACATTTTTCTTATTTTATCAAAATTTGAACATTTTTGTTTCGGGCAGGTAACATTTGTTGTAAAAAAAAAATCTTGTCAAACCCTGTTTTCTGGATTTGACAAGTCCTGGATGATTGATGAAGTTTTTCAGTTCCTCCTGCTAGGGTTGGGCAATATTGGAAAATAAATTAATCATGATTAATTGTGGTATTTAGCCGATAACGATTAATTTGACGAATAATCCCCCGGGGTCCCTGGACAGCCTTATGTCCTGGTCACATGACTAATTTATAGGGAATTTGTGTCAAAATTACAGACTTCAGGCTATACATCAATCTTTAAATTGTGTTGATAGATAAATAAATTACACAACTTTTTTAAATGTTTGTTATATTTGTAGAGACGAGCACCAAGCGCTTAGTCTGCTGGGTGGCATTAATCGTATTTATCGTCAAGTGCCAAAAAATAATCGATTAATGTTTTTCAGATGATTAACTGCACACGATACGATTATGCCCAACCCTACCTCCTGCCTCTTCTAACAACTGTGGCTTTAAATGTTTCTGCATTCATGTTGTTTGTCAGTGAAAACAGTTTAGTGTCATTTTTCTCTTTGAGCCTCAAACTAAATGAAAAGTAGAGTTCTGATCTGGAGCCTCCATGAGTCCCATTCATAYGTTCCTTCATTCAGAACATTTTCATCTTCCTTACCCTTTCTGTCTGACTTTACTCCAGGTTTCCAGTTGTGAAGCTGCAGTCTGCCCTCACCATCCATCTCTTCTTCACTCTCCATCGTCCCGTTTTCAGAACCTCCACAGATTNTAAATGGACTGAGCAGTAAAGTAAAAGACAGCTGATTTAAAGTGAGGTGATGTTTGAGGTGTGTACAGAGGAATTATACCTGAGAACATGGCACAGCAAACTGTTCCAGGAGCAGGTCTGAAGTTCTGTGGGATCAAAACCTCAGAGCAGTGTTGCCTCAGCTTCAACTGCAAATCCTGGATGGCTCCTGCAAATTAACATTTCAACCGAGGTGAAAGCACGCATTGAGGTGGAGACATTTTGTTTGCTTTATTGACATGAAACGAGACTAACCAGCGTTTTCCACCTTCTGCACAATAATGTTGTTTGGTGATTGGAAGTGGGTGACCACAACAGAAAACTGGTCTCCTATGGACTCTGCAAGTGGCTCTGGAGGTTGAGCCCATTTATTGTCATCTTTCCCATCAGAAAGACTCCTGAAGTTTTCCAAGGATGCGGTTAACATGGCACCTAAGTTAAATAAGAAAATAAAACAAGTTAGAAAAACTGTATTCATCAGTTTTTATTAAATTTTCTCCAACAAGTACAGGTGTAGCTAAAWTATGACTAAAAGGGGAGTTCAATTCAGCGGTTTCATTATTGCATAGGTTTGTAAAACACTTGAACTTCATTCGTTTTAGGAATACTGCAGACAGATTTACATCTAAGATGACGTCTACATGAGAATTAATCAATTTTAAGATGTTATCCAGACGCACATAAGTATGGATCCAGGGCAGGAAAAAGGCAGAATGTGGTACCAAGTCCAAATTGCAGCAACGTCTCTGAAGTGCCACATTTGTATAAATTAAACACTCTGATTAAACGCCAGAAGACTTATTGTTGTAATTACGCAGAAAATATTTACATGAGACTAAAGATGTGTATGCACAACAATTATCTTTTAAATTTACACTGACATATTTAATGTGGCAGCTTTAATACAGTGACCTAACAAGGTAATCATCACTGTGACCTGTTAAAATATTTAAGAATAAGTTCTTACATATATCTTGTTCTGTAGGTGCCGCGCAGACACTTTCTTTTTGTGCATACCCTTCCTGAATTAGAAATGTGCTCAGCTTATTTCCTGAAAACGCACACAAAAAAAGATGAAAGGCTTTTAACTTGTATAAATCCTCAGTATATTGAATGTATTCATTTCCATGTAACTAACCCAAGGAAAGCAGGATATCCACCACATGGACACGGCCTTTCTCCAGTGTTTCCAAAAGGTGAACAGTCACCATCTTGCCTGCCAGCATCTGTTTAATTGTCAGGCAGCACTCGCCCGACCAATCGTTTAACACCGGCACCACGCCAGCAATACGGCACTCCATTGCCTGCCAGTAATAAAGACATGAGCTGCTAATATTATACTGCCAGCTGCAAGTTGGGTGGCTGTTAAATTGTTAACAGTTTTAGGGAAAAGCTGAYGTCGACACCATTTGTGTACACAAATTATTAAAAAATAAATGCTATATAAGAAGCTTAAACAAATAAGAATAACTACAATTACAAGTGAATATGAACTTACACAGGGAGGAAATGGTTGTGTATTAGCAGGCAGAGGTCTCATCCTGTCCACTGGGACACTCTCTTCGTTGCCAAAGTCTATGTAAAGGATACTGGCCACCTTCTGGTCAGCAGACAGAGTCTGGACGAGGCCTCTGTACCAGTTCTAAACATCGAGAGTGAAAACAAGTGATAAGTAGGTAAAAAAATCACCCAAACCACTTTCTAAAGTGTGTCYCTTCCAACTGCTTTGGGGAACTGATACTCACCATATCACAAGAAAACTGGACYGCGCAAACCTCACCAACACAGGGCACATAAGGTGTCCTTGGGGGGTCACTGCAAGCTTTCTGAAGTTCTGTGCTTATGCACTGCAGAGCTTCCATCACCTCAGGACTTTGGRCAAGGAGGTAAATCCTACCTGGGCTGTACAACTCAAGAACACACGCCTAAAAAAGGTGCAACAAACAAATATTTGTTTATTAGTTTGAGCTATTTTAATCTCAGCTGTTTTTTTTAATACCTGTATATCTGTGTCACTGATGACTTTAGTGATATCCAAGTCGTTTAGATAGACCCTCATACAGTTGAATGAATCACTGGGCTTTAATGATATAAAAAATAAAGACCACAGTTCTTTTGAAATACTTTTATAAAGGCRAAAGGTTTGGTGGGATATTTATAGGGAATTACCTTCATTTCTGCCATATTGTCTGCTGCATTTGCAAAAGATGTGCTTTCCTTTGGGTTCGCTCTACAGAAAAAATAAATAAATAAACATTTAACAGAAGGGTCATTTTATTTAATTTATTGATTTAATTGCTTTCTGTAGATGTTTCAGCGCCTGTCAAATTTCAGGCCTCAGTCAAAAAGGAGGTCAGGGGGTTATGTTAGTTTGGCAGGGTGGGGGTAACACCAGAGGGTGAACTGAGGTGTTTTTTCTATGAATCTGACAGTCTTTTGCTGCAAAACATTTATGACGTACGTTTAAAAAAATATTTCAAAATGCTGTGCACAATTTGACATAAACTGAAACAGTCTCAGAAGACAACTTAAATCAGTCATGTGACTAGGACCTGCCAGCTCCTCCAGGGACTGTAACCGTCATATTAATCGTTATCAGCTGAATACCGCAATTAATCGTGATTTTTTTTTTTTTTTTTGCCAATATCACCCAACTGTACTAAGAGACATTCAGGAAAATATTACTTTTCAGATTCTGGATCAATGAGCTTGCAGATGTGTCTATGTGCTTTCCAGTCCTCTGTCTGACACACCACAGAGCAATACGGTATCTTCTTGCAGCGCTTGCAACGAAAATTTCCTGTAAGTGAAATACTAATATTAAACTTTTCAAAAACGTTTAATAAAACATACAAAAACAGGGCTATCATACAAAGTTATTCATCTTCAGATAAAATCCAGAAGCAACTGTAAAATGCATATACTGTAATGTAGTTGCACCTAGTCACTAGTGCAACCACAAAACTTAGTAGTGAGTTTTAGGCTAAAACTGAGCCTCTAAAATTACCTTGCTGGCCACAGTATTTGCAAAGGTGTACAGTAAGAGCTAATGGGGATTGTCCTGGCACCTGAGAGGACGAAAAATATATATTTACATAAAAAAAAACAAGTTTAAACTTCAATGGAATACAATAAAAACACCATGTAGGTTTGATACATACTGGGGATGCATGCATGCCAGCAAATGAACCTAAAAGGGAAATAAAACATATGGTCATAAAGTTTGGTATTTTATCCATGCATACAGTGTGTTACTGGTTTAAAAAAAGGCAAACCAGACGCAGTTATACTTGACAAATCTACCGTTTCCAACGCCGCCTAAAGCGGGAGGTATGGGTGGATTAACGGTGGTTAGCCTTAACCGCGGTGGTATGGAGGCGTTAGCTCCGGGGGTCGATGAAGGCTTCCTCAAGGGCCGGTTGGGTCGCACCGACATCGGTGAAAACGGCAGGTTCATGTCTATAGTTTCAAAACAAAATTATTTAAAATCATTATAGTTGAACACACGACGGGAGTTGAGAATAAATGCAACATTTTTTATGCCTGTACAACACACCAGCTAGCATCGATTAGCTAGCTTTTGATGGTAAACCTATCGTTAAAATTAGCCGTTCTGCTAAAAGAAGTCCTAAATACGTGATACACGACAAAACATTCGCCAACTGTCTTTAAAAGTCTAATATTACAACAAATAACCAAATGCATATACATATTTATTCAGATTTAAATACAGTCATAGTCCTACCTGCACGCACGTGTTGATTGTCGAGGAGAAATGGCTGCGCATGCGCAGTTGCGCCACAAGTGTTCAAAAACAGAAATGATTAAACAAAACAGGATCCATCGTTAAAGGAATGAATGATTCTCTTATAAACTGATGAAATTATTTTTATACACAGAATAAAATAATTAAAACATGGATTTTTTTTAAAAGTCCTTTCTGCTTTTGGAAAGTTTAGTTAATGGTCTTACTGTTTTATGCACTCCATCCATTCTTATATTTTCCTGTTTTGATCAAAGAAAAGTCATTTTTAGAAAAAGTTGAAGTACTGAAAGTTGTTTATTTAAATTCATGCATGTTTTCTTTCATGAAAAAATGTCTTTATGTCTTCTTTTACTTGTTTACCTTCTTCTGAGTTATAACTATGAGTGTTAATAAGCCGCATATTTTGATCTAATATTAATTATTGATTGTTGATATAGTTACCACACAATATACAGCTTTGGTTATTCAACTTAAAGCTTCACTTAAAACTTTAAAATAATCTTATGTTGTTTTGTAGTAAAACATAACATTCTGTAAATAAACTTTGGTATCACACAATAATTCATATATATGTTTAATTTCACATAGTAAAAATATTGGAAACTGTTTCAGTAACACTATCAAAAAAATGCAGGTTTTATCTAAATTGTCTCTATAGGTGGCCTTACCTGTTTGTGACGTCATACGACAGTCTGGACTCTCATTGGTCCGTATCGCGTCGTTCTTCCACAGTGAGTGGCCATATTTGTTGATGTGTCATATTAGTGAGTTGTTGGGCCATCAGCTGGTGTAACTGGGGCACCTCCGAGTTCATGCCTRCACCAGGCGTTTCTGGATGAAAACACACAATGGGCTTTTGGCATTCGGTGGGTAAAAAATCGGAACTTTCTTCATTTAGCGTGATTCTACATTCATGTTAGCTGCTAGCGTTAGCCACGCTAGCTTAAGTAGGAATCGGACTGGATTTTACGTGCTAACTGTGGCTTATCCGTGTTAGCTTAGCAGTCAAAATAAATTAGGCAGGCTATATCAACCTGCATTTTAAAGCTTCTACTAGAATTTGTTTCATAATTAGTCTTGGTTGCGTTAAGTTGGTGTACGCTAATGATAGCTTAAAAGCTAGCTAGCTAGCTAAAGACAACAACAGCACGGGTATTGCTAACGTCAAATGAGCCGGGGGGAAATGTTGTCTGTTTTCACAAACGGCACGCCGACCTGCTTCATGTTCCAACTTGTTTCGTTTTGCTCGTAAGTAAAATATATAAATAACGGAGGCTACAATTGTTAGCTTCAGGGCAGTCAGTGTCATGACCCCTGTCAGAAAAGCATCCTCGGACATTTTAACTGGAAAATCTGAAATGTAGTGATTGTCACATTTTGTGAGGTACAGTGAGGCTCTAGATTTGTTATACAGTTATATATTTTGATCCTCATGGTGTAAAACAGCATATTGTTTCCAGATGTTCCTATTTATATTCTTGCAGGTATTTTGGATCAGTTGTCTTGTGAAAAGGTATTAACCCATCTTACTGCTTATCTTTCCACACAGTAATTTACAGTATAAAGTAGTATTGACATTTACCAGACTGCAAATTATCCCATTAATTGTTAATAATCAGTAACACTGCAAATGTTGACAAAGTTAWTTTCAGTTTTGTGTCAAAGTAAAATAGTTCGAGCCACACATCTGTTGTCTCAGGCTCATATACTTTCATTTTCTAAAAGTTTAACACAGACCTAGTTGCTTGTTCTTGTTTTTTGATACACATGAATTGCCTCTTAAATTTATAGACCTTATATCAGTCATGTAAATAACAAATGATTTGCAGTTTTAAGTTGATATAAACAATTTTGAACACTGTTAAGCTGGACAGAGTTTTTTTTTTTTTTCAGGTCAAATGAAATGAGAAGAACAACGTCATGGAGGTGACGCAACAAATTAGCAGTCAAATGGTTTAACAGTACCAATCTAAACTACTCAGTTGGTTTGAGAGCAGATCTTTAAAACATCTTGATGGTATCCCATCTTCACCGTATGACGTTTTCAGCCACACACTTCAGTTAATCTCATCATGGGTGTGGACGGAAACACACCTCTAGTTTCTGCCACAGGTTTTTTTGTCTGCATAATTTTGAGTGTTGCGTTTAGTAATAGATAAGAAACTATGAAGACCATTGTCAGTGTTTTTTCTTTAGCTTTTAAAAGGCTAATGTTTTGAATAATGGTCAGGAACATGTAAATAGTACAAGGCTACTGTTGTATCAGTCTGTTCTTTTTCAGKCTCTTTTTTTTATACYTTGTGGGKTTTTTTTTCTTTTTATGCACGATTTGAAGCAGTGACAGACCATGAAACAACCCGGTCCAACTACAGATCCACAGATGATGGAAGGATCAGAAGTTATATCGGTGTCGGAGGAATCGCGGTCTGTGGATCAGCTTCACAATAACGTGTCTGATGTAAAAGAGGAGGAAAGCTCTTACAACAGTGTGCACGAGGTAGAAACATGCAGTCGGCCAAAAGACGAGTTACACCATGAAAGTGAATTGACCGAGGTTACAACAGATGTTGAGATGGACACAAATACAGAGCAGGAAGCCCAAACATGCAGCCAGGAGCTTCTAGAAGAGAAAACGTTCAGTAATGATGCCAGTACAATTTTAAATGCAGGTGATGAACCTCCACTCGCTCTCTCAAATGATGCTGCTGCCGTTTGGAGAACTCCTGCCAACACTCAGGATGAAGCAGAAACCCATTCTTCTGTTCTTGAAGGGAAAGTAGAGACCTTATTGACTTTTGACGCAGCAACTCAAAACGACAATGACCAACCGTCACTCTTGGTCACTGGTTGTTCTGCTGAGTCATCACCTGTCGACAACAGCGACTCAGCTGAGAGTCTGTCGTCCTCCTCTGTCCAAAGCACTTCCAAGAACTTGCCTACAGACTCCGCCACGACCTCTGGGATCTCTAACGGTCCCTCCACGCCAACCTCTGACACACTCAGCTCCTCRCCCGCTTCCAGCCCCCAGACCGGTGCCAACAGCTCAGGCCCCTCAAACTCCACGTCCAGCCCTTACGACACCGACTGCAGCCGAAGGCTTATTTCACAAATCCAGCGCTCGTTGTCACAAGAGTCGCTGCTGGACGAGCTCGAGTCGGAGCTGCTGGCTTGTCAGCTGCCTGAAGGTGAAAGCAAAGGAGAGGGAAAGGGAAGCCCACCTGTTAATGGACTCCCAGCAGACCAGGAGGGCTGCATGGTGGTCTTTGAGAAGTGTGTGCAATACAAGTATGCACAACAGGAGAAGGCTATTCAAAAGTAAGCTGGCACTTTGTCTTCTTTAAACAGCTAAATCTGTACAAACTTATCACTCACTTTGGTTGTTTATGAGTAAACTAATACCTGGCAGCTCTTATTGCTTCTGTTTCTTTAAATCTTTTTTAACTTCTGTTTGTGTTGATCTGACACACTTGGTTTTGTTTTTAGTAATAACACTTGAGGTAATGCTATACATTTTTTGGACTCTTCAAGAATTGGACCTTAATTTTGTGTGTGCGCTCCCATCTGTTTGTTTAGGCTGCTGGAGGAGAACAAGAGACATCAGGAACTGATCCTGGGCATCTGCTCAGAGAAAGACGACATGAGGGATGAGCTGAAGAAGAGGGCAGAAACAGAAAGGCAACACATGACCATCATTAAAAAGGTAATTGTAATTTTTTGTGGTCTTTTTGTGTTGTTTGAACTATATAGATTTTACTGTTAAGGGAAGCAAGCTGAAGTGACGTAGACAAATCGTGATCAGAGCTAATTGTTGCACATGCGTGTTGAAGCCCTTCTGTAGCTAAAAGTAGCATAAGAAGAAAAAAAGTGCAAATATTCTGAAACATTTTAAAAAGAAAAATACGTTTTTGAAGAAACTGAAAAGATCTCAACAAATTTTTACAGGTTTTCAAGTTTGAATATTTTGAAAAAGCATAAAAGTTGCGAAAAACAAGACGTTGCATCTTCTGAATGAGCCAAACGTTTTGTTTAACATAGTACAACGTACGCAGGAGTAGTGAGATTGCAAAAAATACACAGAAAATTTAAAACAAAGAAAACTACAGTGCGGAATCAGCATTCACACTTTTAAATATTGAGTTTATTCTACACTGATTTTTATCCAAGTTAAGAGAAACCAATTTACTAATTGTGTTAACGGATTCTGTCACAATAACACTTCAGTTTTATTAAATATACTCGAGTCTTGTATAGCAGGTAATTAAAGTTGTCAAACAAAGCAGCCTGTGAGGGAGGAGATAAAATCACATCGAATCCTAATCGCATGTATTTTTTTTACCAGGCAACAAAAGTCTTTGTGTGTTTTTTTTTTTTTATTGTCTGATTGTCTTTGCAAAGCACAAGTRCTTTTTCATTCATAAGGCCTAATTTAAAATGGGTGTTTCCATGGATGGAACAAAATGTGCTTCATGCTTCATTTGTGGCAAAATGATTAGTGCAAACATAAGGGTGAAGAGGGGAGTTTTTATAGCGTACTGTAAACAATCGCTTGGATCAGGTTTTATCTCAAAACTTTTGATTTATAGTTTTGTAGAATAAGTGTTTAAAGGTATATTTTATCAAGTGCTTGGATCGAAATTTAAAATGGGTGAGAGCTGTCATTTTTTCCAAACAATTTAAAGCTAATTTTGCCAGAGGTTGCTTCTTCTTTTTTATTTTCTGTAAATCTAATTTTGAGAAATTAGCCAAACTGACACCTGTTTCTGCAGCTGTTTGATTAAAATTAGCCTTCAGCAGTTTGTGTCAGATGTAATCGAGTGTTGCAGAGTARCTCCGGTGTGGCCCTGATGAATGAAATCTTCAACAAGTTGCTCGGTTGGTTTATTACTGTTTTTGCAGTTGGAAGGCAGGGTGGAGGAGCTGCTGAAAGAACTGAAGGAGTCGCGGGAGAAACTCATCCACCAGGAGCAGATGGCTAAATCTTCTCTCCAGCAGCTGCAGAGGGAAACGACTCACCGGATAGAACAGGTACGACTGGGACCTAACGACTCTGAAACTTCTTGAAAAGCTTGATTTGTGACTCGTTTTGCGTTAAAGTCTGATCCTTTATTTTGCCTCTTGCTCTGACTCAACAGATGTGTGACTTAATTCATAATGAGATTACTACAACAACAAAAAAACATGTTTTAACGTAACACTTGTGCACAGGCTGGTTGGTCAGGTACTGCACTTTAAAAAACAAATTGATTCTAAGCGTTTGAGCTGTTGCCCCTATTTGTTCCACCATGGTTTCTTTTTACAAACTGAGTGTTGATACATCAATAAAACTTAAATTCAGTCAAGTTTGGCCAGGATTTAAAATTTAATCCGTCAATATATCTGTGGATATATACACTAAACTACCAACTGAATGTTTAAGGTTTTTGCACACAGAACTCTTGTTATTGCAGATTCAATAACTTGTTAAATGAATTTTGGGGGAGGGACATTTTTCTTTTTTGATTTCACACACCTGGGAAACCATGTAAGGCACTTTCCTCTTGACAGTCTTGTCACACTTTCCAATTTTTAATTTCACAGTTCAGCGAACAATATGAGCTAGATTTTTGCACCGAGGCCCTTTTTAAGCCCTTTGCTTGTATCATTTCTTGGCTTATGTTAGGATGGTGATCTATTAATCGACTGTTGCTGCCCCTCAAGGTTTTGAATATTTGCTTATGGTAATTTACTGAAGCTTTGTGCCAAATACCTGAACATTTCTCTTATGGGAACTGCCATTTTAGTAAGATGAACATGATTAAGATGAACACAGGTGGTGCATGGCACATGAATTTATTGCCTGTAAAACTAAGAAGTAGGATTATGTCGCACACAAAGAGGAAGATAATAAAACAACAATCATCGTTCTGTGAAAAAAACAAACACCATGTCAAGCTGATCATGACTGATGAGTCAGATCAAAGAACAACAACGAAAATCTGGTCAGCTCGCAGAGTCCTGATCACATCATCACATCGCTGTTATCAGTGCCGCCGGGCTAGAAGTCTGCTCAGAGCACAACTTGTCACCTGAGAGCACCTAATCTTTTTCTAGACTGCAGCAGAAAGGACAAACCATGATGGTTAAACACAAGTGGAATAGTAAATGAAAAGGGACATGCTTTTTTTTAGACAGAATGGAGCTCATCAAAATGTTTTTCATGTCTTTCAGTTCAAAGTTTTACTTAATATGGTTTATTATTAACTTCCAAAACTGTGTTAAAAACAAATGCAAGGTGACTAAAGTTACGGGTACTTTTATTTTAGGTCAACAAGAAGTGCGATGAGGCACGCCAAGAGAAGGAAGCCATGGTAATGAAATATGTTCGGGGAGAGAAAGAGGCCCTGGACCTGAGGCGGGACAAAGAGGGGTTAGAGAAGAGGCTTAGAGAAGCCCTCAAGGAAGTGGACCGCCAGGCCCTCCGAGGGAATCAGCTGGCTCAGGATAAAGGACGGTTGCAACAGCTGTACGACGCTAAGGTAAACAAAATGTTAAAAGTTTAAAACAACTTTTGTTTCATCTAAATGCTATTATGTGATCAGCTGCAGGCAGCATTTGCATTTCTGTGTTTTTACCTCAGCAGTATGCTTTATCTGGTGACCAATGTGTTATTTGTCTGGGAACATTAGGATACGTGCACAATGTCCCACTCAGTTCTTTCTATATACTATAAAAAATTTTAATATTAGTGTTTGCACTCTCTTTTGTTTTTTATAGTTATAACTATCATTTAATGTTGATTTGGCTTCCTTTTTGCACTTGTGTTCATAGGAAGGAGAGGTTGGCAGGTTTACACGGGAGATAGAAAAGTTGAAGGAGGAGATCAACTCCCATCTTATCAAAGTCAAATGGGCCCAGAACAAACTGAAGAGTGAGGCTGATGCTCATAAGGTACTATAACTGCTTTTTGCTTTAACAAAAGATGAAGAGTTTACATCCGGCTGAACCTAAATGTCAAACTTTCTAAAGTTTTGTTATCTCTTACGTTTCGCCTTTTAACTGTTGGTTTAATTTTTAGGTAAAATAAGTGATCAAGCTTAAAATCTGAATGACACAGTAATGAACCTCCAAGGAATGCATAATTATCATTTTATCTGTTTATATTTTCTAAAGCCTCCAAGCAAATAAACAACTATAAACAAATGGAGGAAGCAAAAAGTCAGTCATTGCTGAAGGCTACAGAAGTTTAGCTGCTTTTGTTAATTAATTACATGTGTTTTTGGAGGAACATGTCCAGAGCATTCTGTGTGGTTAGAAAACCAAAACGAGAATAAAATGTAGAAATCCTTTAATTTTSACTTCATTCTTCATTCACCATTTTTATCTGTGTGCAGGAAACTAAAGACAAATTGAGAGAAACAACATCCAAGTTGATTCAGGCCAAAGAGGAGACCGAACAGATTCGTAAAAATTGCCAGGACATGATCCGAACGTACCAGGTTTGTCATATTTTTCTACAACTACAGGCTTTTTTATGACCCTTGAAAGGAGGTGATATCTACCCTTTCCTCTGTGTGTTTGGGTTTTTAGTTTGGACCAAAGCTATAGAGATTTGTGTGCTTTTTGACAAAATAATCATAGTTTTTAAAAACTACAGTTTGCATACTTGTAATTTTAAAAAGTTTACTCTTTGGTTCTGAACAAAAGCTTTTATAAGAACAGGAAGAAATGCTACTTTGTGARCAATGCTGAACTAAATGACTGATTTAGATTTTTTTTTTAGAAAGAGGCAGTTTTCATGTGTTACCTTATGATGGTAGTAAAGAGCTGTGTTCGTTTTGTCACTAGTAGAGCGATCAGATTGAGCTGCTGTTTTCTGTCATCAGCAGGGTTTTTTACATCACAGCACAAAAGAACCAATGTTCTATGATTTACCACAGGGAAAAAAAATCATATCATTTTTGTTTTACTCCTATTTACTGTAGTTTCAGATTAAATATGATCCATCATCTTCATCCTCATGTTTCTGAAACTGACTTATTTCTCCTTTCAGGAGTCAGAGGAGCTCAGGTCCAACGAACTGGATGCTAAACTGAGAGAGACCAAAGGCGAGTTGGAGAAACACAAGCAGGAGCAAACAGACCAGTTAGAGGTGACGACCATCATCTTATTTTGTGTTCTCTCCCTGGAAAGCCAAAATAGATTTAGAATAGAATAGAATAGAATAGAAATAGCCTTTATTGTCCCACTGAGGGGAAATTCAGGTGTCGCAGCAGCATCCGTACAGAGGTTCACACACTAGTTATTTTACAAACTATAGATAGTGCACACAGAACAAAATTTAACACTGACTAGCCATTATATGACTACTAATAATAAAAAATATAATATAAAGAATTTGCAAAAATAAAAAAGATATGTTCTGTTTTAGAGACAGTAGACTACCAGAATCCAACATTAGGAATCAGAAATTGCCTGTTTTCAGTGCAAAACACTCTCAACAGATTAACTGTAAAGTGAAGTATCATAATGCAGACAAGAAACACAGATGTGCAATTACAGCAGAATTTTTTAAGGTTTAAAATGGGTAGTAACAGAGCATTTAAACTGTAACCTGTATTTATTTCATTCTGACCTTTTTCAATGTTTTATCTGGCATTACAAACAGTATAGTGCCATAAACATGTTCAGTTTTGCATTGATAGTAAATTAAAGAATAAACAACATGTGAAAACAACAAGCTGTGGAGAAAACATTAGTTAGAGCTGATTTCTATTTTGAATGGAGAAACGAGTAGCAGAACCTTTCAAGCTCTGCATTCTCCTACTCTTTCCTAAGTACGGCAGTGGTCTCTGCAGTACATAGAGGGATTTGCTTGTCGTGTGGGCAGAGTTTGTTCTAAACGTGGTTGGTAAAATTGAGTTGTCTTGTGGGGAACATTAAATGAAAAAGTAATGGTAATAGTATGTAAATAAGATTTATTGACTGTATGAACAGTTTAAAACRGAACGATGACTGAAATGAAAATAATTTTGAATGTAATTTATTGACTTCAAATTTTATGCAGCAAGCACCTTCCTGTCTCACGTTATGACTAATATAAAGTCATATTCATATATAATAATTTTATTAATTTTTTTACAGACTGGTTAGGGCTGTTTTGACTGAGCTGAAATGTTTCATGTCCCACGTCCACCGATGTTCAAATTTTGTGCATCTATCACCTTCCTGTCTGGAGTTAYGTCAAAAATTAATATTAATGTTTAAAAATATACCAGGCAGGTGCTTCCTGGCTGTTTCAGTTAAGCTACTCCCAGTTGAGTCCAGCTTCTTCAAACCCCGCCCAAAATAGCCAATCCACCCAATCACATCTTTAACAAATTACGCCTACAAAATGTCCTGAATCGGGGGAAACAAAACAGCCACTGTTCAAAAGAATGAGCCAGCACAGTCGAGCAGCATCATCAGGCCAGGACTCTGCAGTTTACGTCACTGCATGAGGTTTCTGCCCTCTGGAGTCTACACCAAACATTATTTGTCCACAAATCTGTCCCAATTAAAGCTCCAATTTTTATCAGTCAGATTCCACCATGCACAACGTCTGTTTCATCTCCATTCATGAGTTTTTGACCATTTGACTCTCTCGATAAAAGTCGGCTTCCTGTTAGAATAGTCAGCTTTTTTGTGTTTGTTTTTTGAAGTGAGTAGTTGAAGCTAAATGCAGCATCTGAGCCCTTTCAGCACAAACACTCCCACCAACTTCTGACCGATCATACAATAAATTCTTATGTGGAGGGAGGTAAAAAGTTCTGCTATTGGGTTGTGATAAGAAGGTGCCAAAATGTCGACAGTGCAAACGGAATGACGTTTGTGACATTTCGGCCCGATTCCGGCAGTTCGGATGCAGCATGCTGCACGTTTAACAATGCTGTTTTTGTGAGCTTGACTCAGCCTCCTGGGATCAGTAGGTATGAATCAGGGCCCAACAATAGTCAGGTGACGGGGCACATGATCCTCTATGAACAATAGGGTTAATCAAGGCACTAACGATGTATTGTTTGGCTGATGTTCCTCTTTTGCATGTGACCAACCTGTTTGTCCACCATGTGGTGGCAGTGCTTATGGAGTTCACCTGAAACTCCTCAGACTGAAGAAGTCTCTTGGAGGAGAGACAACTTTTCATTAAAGAAGAACCYGTCCAGAGGACTTGTTTTTCTTTTTGACGCCTACAAAAAAGTCAAACAGACCAATCATGTTTTAGACAACCTCCTCCCACAAAATAAGAAACTCCTACTTAGTGACTGCAGAGACCCCCCTCTCAATTTAATTGACTTACTTGATTTTAATTATACAGATTTAAAATGTTTTTTTTATAGTTTTACAAAGACTGTAGCTTAAGGCAGCCCACATTGACTCCTGGTTTAAATGTGATGATAGAGACTATAAAACACCTTGCATTTATCTACATGATTGCATTACAGAAGAAAAGCATAATGCATCCTTTTATTGATGGTTTTTCTCCTAAAGTGAAAATGTTAATTTTTTAGCTGTTTTCTCCTGCATCAAAATCTGATTCAGTCTTCCTCTGTAGCCCTCATTCATTCACATAAGCAAACAACTGGACTCGGTTCAAACACAGTGGCCTGTTTTTCTCAATGGTACACTCTAACGGGAATTAGACTTTAAAAATAAATGTCCTAGAAGTAATCAATGATAGGCTGGATGCTTCGACAACAACCCAGGAGACATCACCCACTTAAATTTATTCCTTTCTGCTTTTCACTTATTTTTTTCAGGTTAATCACAATTTCTTTGAATTTCTTTTATGCGTAACTTAGTTTTTGTTCTTGCAGCAGATATTCTGTTACCCAATAAACTTGACTTCCWCTGATATCCAGCTTGTTCCCTTTCAGACAGTGTGCAGCTTGTTTTTTATTTATTTATTTATTTATTTTGTAAGCCAGTTTAAGGCGTGGATCTTGATTTTCTTTAATTTTGGTCAGCGCCACTTCCCTGCTGTTTGCTATGTCAGTCCAGGCTTATATTTATTTTATTATGTATGTTATGCACACGTGATGATGCAACTAAATCATAAATTATGCAAAAAGAAAAAAAAGCTGTTTCCATTACTGTTCGGATGATTGCATTTTTATTAGATGCGAAGGGATGAATGAAGGAAATAGAATTCAGCAGCATCTCTCATTACTGCTGTGTTGTCTTGGATACCAAGAGGCTTCTAATGACTTTTTGAAAAAGTTGACTAGCAGTAGCGTTTGTAATGGGATTGTTAAAAAATCGAGACAAAACATTACAGGAACATAATCATTTCCACACGTGACAAATGCATTAGAGGAGGAACTTTAAGAAAGGAAACTGTTGGGTTTCCCTGAAATCTGCTTTTTGTCTTTCTGTTTAAAAGGGACATAACATGCAAAAATACACTTTTTTAGATGTTAAATGCATTTTGTTGTGTACTTTGGAGTTTCTAGTGTGCAGAAAATTTGAATTTAGTCTCCTACTGCTGCATAGATACAGTATCTAAATATTCGGATGGTTCATACTTTTGAACCTGTTCAGTTTTCCCTATTTCCTGTTTCCGTTTCTGAATTATTACATCACATTATTTGCAATGGAACTGCTAGATAAGGTCTGAATTTTTATCAACTACAATTTCATCATCTTCATTCTCTTCTGGGTCAGACTTTGGCTCCAACTTGTAAGGCTGGATGGACAAGTCTTCCCTTATTGACGTCTTTTTAATTAATTTGTAAATTAAACATTTCTGTGCTGCTATATAGTCAGAAACCCCTCTATCAAACTAGAAAGAACCGCTCTGGAAGCTGGATGGGGGTGGGGTATGACGCGCCTCTTTTGCATTTAAAGATAAATTAAGTTAAATTGAGAAGGAATTCAGACCAAAGCATTGAAGTTCCACTATATGTAGACCCCAACTGAATGATTTAAATGTGAAAAAGAAAGATGTAAAAGCAGGATAGTTCTCACTTTAAATAAGTGGGATGTAGAATTAAATCTATGGGTAAACCTTCAGATTTTTAATCCAAAAATAATAGTCCAAACTAACGCAAGTTCACAGTGCATTTCTAAATATATTCCATATGTCTGGCAGATGCTCCAAGYGAAGGCTAAAGAGCTGGAGGAGCTAAAGAAGAGCTACAAAGAAAGCATGGATGAGTTCGATACGCTTCGCACCAAGGTTTGTCAGTCAGATCAAAGCTTAAGCACCTTTGGTATAGCCAAGTAACTTAATCTGTTTAACTTGAAATTCTGTTTTTCTTTTAGTTAAAGTGTCTGGAGRACGAGCGTCCACGTTGGGAGGATGAGCTGAGTAAATACAGGGAGATCATAAACCGGCAGAAGGCTGAGATCGGTCGCCAGAGAGAAAAACTTGATGAGGTCACTGAGCTTCAAGAGCAGCATGAACGGTACAACCAGAGTGGCCCTTAGTAAAAGTAGTCTATTTAAGGGAGACAGCAGATTGCGTTAAATCTTCATTTCATCACAATCTCCCATCTTTAGCAGCATTATGGTGTCAGTAGAAAAGAATGACTTCCTTTTAACAAGAAAAAGCTCATATTCTTTGGTAAATGTGTGCTTCTGCTGGCCATGGGAACAAAGAGATCTCTCATTGTTGTTTGTGTGCTGTATTGCAGGTGGTGCATACCAATAACAGTTTATTCAAAATCGACCTTTCATGTCAAACAGCAGGATGTTTAAGTCATTCTAACATTTCTTTACACACGTGGACAAAATCATAGCACAGACTGCTTGTTAGCCTTTAAATACGCAGACTGACTGATCACAAGCTTGAAGACACTTGTAATGCTAATTCAGGGACACACCTTGGATTAACATGTCCTTTATGGTCAAAATATTTTCAGGCTTATTTTTAGAAGTACCCTCATTTTTATCCAGGTCTGTTTTAATTNTTTATGGTCAAAATATTTTCAGGCTTATTTTTAGAAGTACCCTCATTTTTATCCAGGTCTGTTTTAATTATTATTTTTTTTTAATCTTGTTGATCCTCAATTCAAAAAATGTCTTATTTCCACTGGTTGATTTTTAGTCAGTTTTTATTTAGAAATCCTTTTGTCAGTTTTAAGTTATTTCACTGATTATTGTGGGCTTTTCAGTCATTAACACAAGAGTATCAGTAATATTGTTCATGTGTGGCGGTGTACAGAAACAACTTCAGGAAACTCATTATTAGAACATGATTCATCTTTAAATATCATTGTCTATAACTATATAAATGAATAATATGCTGCATCTGACTAATATGCTGCATCTGATGTCTCCTATCCCAGTTTATTAAAACATTTATATTTTTTAAACATTGTAACAACATATGCTTTTTCCTGCATGCAGTGACAAACAGGAGATCACATCTCTTCAGGAGGAAGTGGAGGGCCTGACCAGTCAGATAGCTGACCTCCAGCGTGATGTCCAGGGCAGCAGGGAGCGGGAAGCTGAGCTGCTCGGCTTCACAGAGAAGCTGAGCAGCAAGAACGCCCAGCTGCAGTCAGAGAGCAATGCTCTGCAGTCGCAGCTGGATCAGGTCACCGGCAGCTGCACCGAACTCCGAGCGAGGCTGGAGGAGACCAGCAGGCAGCTGGACGACAAGGTCAGAGTCCTCTGAGTGCGCATTTATACTGGCTGAGCACAAAACCGTATATACTGTAAAAACACTCAATTATTTTTTAATTCAACAAATCACTGCCACAAAACCTTTGAACGGCTAAGTTTTTTTTTTTTTTAAATCCTGCTAATTTCATCTTCGCTCGATAAATGGTGCAGTCACGGCAGCTGAGAAAGGAAGAGGTGCTGAGGCAGCAGGAGGTGCAGGGTCTGCAGGAGGAGCGGGCAGCTCTTCAAACAGAGGTGGGCCAACTAAAAACCAGAGTGGAGGAGCTGAGGGATGAGCTGGTGACTCAGAAACGCAAGCAAGCAGCGAATATCAAGGACCTCACAAAACAATTAACACAAGGTTAGGCACCAATATGGATCATTTTAAAGCTTCTTGTTTTATATTCTTCATAAAACTACACATAAAAATTGATGTATGTTCTCACGTTAACTTCTGGGACTTTATTAGCTGTTTTTTTATAAATAATGATTTTAATTTTTTTTTAATTTGCAGGAGTTTCTTTGAATTGCTGTTCACATTTGTACACAGTATTCATGGTTGAATATTTTCTGGGTTTTAATGCATGTGTAAATGTGGTTGTGGATTTGTTAGTTTTATTTATTGTTACTTTTTTCCCTCCACAGCCCGTAAGAGGCTGGAGCAGGTGGAGAATGGAGGGTGTGACCGGGACGCCAGCAGCATGGGCAGTCGCTCCAGTTCCTCAGGTACTGCTCTGCGATTTGGTTAGTATTTCACATCTAATCTATATTTCTTTTTAGTAATCATTATATCCTGATTGCACCTCAATAATCCAGGAAGAAAAATCCTTATAGTTATGAATATCTGTTTTTGCTTTGTAATGTAAAATAACGCTAAAAATAATGCCTCTTTTCTTTTTTGGAAGGCAGAGCGCGCGCAGGAAGTTGTCACAAAACCACGACAGTAACCCAGTTTGTAGGTTAATCCCTGGGTTTTATTCTCTGTGCTCCCCAGGTTCTTTAAATGCACGCCACGTTGGGGGCAGCGGCGCCGAAGAGCGGTCACCGGAGAGCCAGTCGGGCCCCGCTGTGATGGTTGTGGACAGCTTCCCGGAGGTGGACAAGGCTGTGCTGGTGGAGCGCATAGTCCGTTTGCAAAAAGCCCTGGCGCGGAAGCAGGAAAAGATGGAGTTCATGGAGGATCACATCAAACAGCTGGTGGAAGAGATCCGGAAGAAGACAAAGTGAGTGACACGGTTCGGTGTACAAGGGTGAAAAGAAATGGTTTGACCATGAAGAATATTTCCTCAAACAGACGTGATGAAACTAGCCGCGCTGCCAGAGGGAATAATAGAAAATCTGAGGGTTTCAGTCCCTACAGCAGTGTTTATTATAAYATTAGTGCTGGAATAATACAGGTTTGACTGCAGGAACTCTGGAAACTATTCCTGTGATCTGCCTTTTGAAAACTAACAACCTCGTTGTCTGATAACATCAGCAGTCGCTCCTGTGCAGCAACAGACTGATGGCAAGTTCCAGCAGCTGGGTTTGAAATMGCATGTTCGCTTTTTGTTTGTTTGTTTGTTTTTTTTAGGATTTCAACATGATTCTTGGCATTTGGTTTTTAGCTTTCTGGTAATGGCATTCTAATTTATAATGCTTTATTGCTAATTATTTGTTGAGCATGCTTTTATTTTGATAATCTAAACTTTTTTTCATGTAAAACAAATCATTTGGTAGCTCCCATTCATCTTTTTGTTTCTTCTGCTCATCCTGAAATTCTTATTCATGCAAACACCCCATTTAATTCATGATGAGCTTCACTCTATTTATAGCCCTGCTGATTGGGAGGCTGTGTAATGAGACATGCTGAAAAGAACACCAAGCAAAATCTTAAGCATTGTTTGCTTTTTTTTTTCCTTCTCATAGATGATATTTACAGTGAGTTATCTTCCTGAATCTTTTCCTCCACCTCGTCTCAGACTTCTTGCATTTCTGCACTTGAATCCATTAGATGCAACCTACATTTTAAGAGTTAAAATTGAGGACGAATCCCACGGTTCAGGGCTAAATTTAGCTGGTTAGAATCTCAGCTAAGCCCAGCGGGTGTTACACCACCCAGAGTGTGGATGTGAGTTTGTCCTTTTTTGCCTCTGTGACCCAATCCTTCCAGGACAGCTCAGTGAGCACTGACACGCCTGACTGTAAGCCTGAGGCAGGTGACGAGGACAGAAAAAAATGAGATGCTGAAAAAGAAGCAGCTCAGGGGGTCTAAATTGGGGTCAGACAGTGAAAGGAGGCTAATAGGCTTTTTTCTTTTTATTTGCATTACCTCGTTCATACTGTTCTGTTTTTATCATAGAAATGAAAATTTTAAAGTACATTTTCACAGAAATTGAAACTGTAATGTTCTCATTTTGCTCAGATTTGTTACCAGGATTTACCTAAAACACAGCGGCAGCCAGGCCATCATTTCTCACACTGTTTGACCTGACTGTTTAATTATCGTGAAACAATTTAAAGCATCTAAAATCACAGAAATATGCTTTTTAAACTGAAGCTCCCTGATTCTTTTTATTGGTTTGTTCGACCTTCACGCTAAGAATCATGTTTTCTGAATTGCACTGTTTTGGTTAGAAAGTCAAACCAGATGGCTGCAATGCTTACAGCATATTTTAGCTCATTTATTTTATGTTGCATAAATGCAAATGAGCTAAAACTTACTAAAAAAAAGACTCATCTTTCAAGGAGAAATATGACAAAATCTCAGTTGCTCTTTGGGTGATTAGAATTAGCATGATGATGTTATAAAGTGGATGTAATTAAAGCTGCAGGACGTCTTTGTTTCTGGAAACTTATTTATTTTCAGGCCATTCAAAACATTCTCAGTTACTGATCAGTATTAATTGTGGTGTTGTGGATTCACACCTGCTGATTGTGTTTTATGTGTTGAAGATGATCACATCAAGAGTGGAATTTCTTATTTATTTTGGAATTTATTATGGGGTTTTAAAAATTCTTCTGTTCTCTAAGCCTGTGTTTGTCCTTGATGTTCCGTACACTAAATACAAATATTTAAGTATTCTCACTTATCAGAATTGTACATTTTGCAACAGACATCCTCCTAAAGTTACACTCACTGGGCCTCATGCAAGAACATGTTCGTATTCTTATCCTAAATTTCTCTTACTTTTGTTCGTACAAAGGGTTCGTACGAACATGTCACGTCAGATTCAACAAACTCTTCTATCTTCAGGAAAATTGTGTAAATGAGCTGCGTAAATTCACCTGTTCGTATCCAGCTGCTCGTGCACGAGGAGAGGAGATTAGCATAAGTACCACCCCAAAAACACCATATAAGRCTATGTTTCCTGCTTCAGATATCAGGAAGTGTCCATTCATGAAAATGACAGCGAAAATTAAAAAGAAGAACTTTACGAGTTCAGAGATTGAAGTCCGTCTGTCAGAGATCCAGAAAAGAAAATCTGTCATTTTTAGCAGGTCAGCTGTGGGATAAAAAGAGCTGCTAAAAGTATAAACAACTGTGTTAAATCATTTTCAGTTATTCAGAAGCCACAGCGCTGCGCACCGTACACCACCGCGTGGTCTCAAGTGGTCTCAGTTGCGATTCTAAAATAAGTATTTTAAAATGTTTTCAAAATATGTCTGGCACTTTGGAGAAAACCCAGGACTCGCTGGAGGGATTATGTATCCCCTCTGGCCTGGGAACGTTTTGGTGTCCCCCAGGACGAGCTGGGGAGAGCGGGGTCTCTCTGCTGCTGCCCCCAGGACCTGATCCTGGATAAAAGCGGCAGAAAATGGACGGACAGACAATTTATATTGTTAGTCTAAATTATTACATTTAAAATTATAACTCTAATTCAAGCAGAATAACTTATTGTCAACATAATTATGGAGTGTAATTTATTTTCAACTCAAAATATCTTCAAACTAACGAAATATAAAGTTRTTAGTGAAGAAAACCCGTCTGGATAACAGCAGACTGACTGCTGGTAAAATATACGACAGGTCTGGACCACTCGTGAATTTTGTTTGTATCTGAAAAACATCTTAGAACACGAAAACATTGGTGAATGCCACAAATTCTCCTAAATCACTCATACGCACAACTTAAGAACAAATCTGTGCGTACGAACGGTTCTTGCATGAGGTCCACTGTTCGTTGCAGATGTTGCTTCAGTCTGTGTGACTCTAAATACTGTTAGGATAAAACAATGTTCAGGGTACAGGCACATTTTTCTGTCTTTATGCCTAATTTTTCCCAGTTTCTCATGTTTTTGGGGGACAAGCACTTCATTTAGAACGAAAGGACATAACGGTCACCCATCCAAGACATAAATCATTCTTTTACCCAAACCTTTACCTCCGCATTGACCTCTGCATGCTTCATCTAGCTACATCTTTAATTTGTCATCTTTTTTTGTTTTGTTTTTAATAAACACTGTCGTGATGGATGTGGGGTCCAAAATGTGGACCCTTTAAAAGTCTAGTCAGAGGTAAGTTGCATTTTATGTTCATGGTAGCTCAGGTGTTGTGTTTGCGTGTGTGAATGGATGGGAATCATTCATGTTGGTGGCAGCTTTGTAGTGTTTTTCCTAGCTGCTGTTCATATTTTTGCTCCGTAGACTCACTCGCTTCATTACTTTACAAATGATCTCCTGCAGTAAAAGTTTACCTTTTCTGTTGTTGGCTTTTTCGTTTACTTGTTTTGTAGATTTAAAAAAACCGAGAGAGGCTGCACGTGCATGCAACAGCAAATATGAAGCACAATTACAAACTGCCTAACATGCATGTTAAATATGAGCCCACTCTTATCAATGTGAACTGATTGGTGGTGGTTTCAGGCAAATGCATGCTGAGGAGTTTGCAGCACAGTTTGCTTGATATTAATCAGAATCATGTTTTTTTTAAGTTTTCAACCAAAGACTTGTTTTCCTATAGTTGCATCTCACGAGGTGTCAACTGCTGATGTGTTGGTGAACATTTGTAAAGGAGACTCCAGAATGTCTTTAAAGGATCACAGGGGCTTTCCTGTTTCCAACCCTAAGATGCAGAAGCTCACAGTCTTGTTGCTTGAATTTTGACCGCGATATTAGTTCTCCAGGTTTGTCCCAGGTTTGTCTTCATCACTCGTCTAAACCCAGTGGTTTAAGCTGAAGAGCTAAACCAGTTATTATGCTGTTTTGGTCATTCTTTCTCTGGTGTGGGTTAGGGCTGCCAGAAACGATTATTTTTATACTCTATTAATCACCGATTATTTTTTCGATTAGTCGACTAATCAGATCATACGTTAATTGAATATAAAACATA